CAAGGAAGCAAATTCGATGACCATCTGCCAAAACGGAGCAGAGACATTCAGCCAGACAGCGGCATGAGGAGACAGGGGTCCGGTCCCACTTGTTGCTCTGAGGAAAACAGGAAGCCCAGCACCAAGCCAGCCAGCCACGCAGAAACCTCAGCCAGTGCTCCTCACAGCAGGTACATCAGCAGGCTCCTGGCACCCAGACCTGGGCCTCAGGGCCCTAGGCACCCACCTGCACGGGAGACCGGACTGTTCTGGAAAAGCCAAGAAGCAGGTGCATCAGTCAGGGTTCTGAGGAGAAACCATCAATGGGATGTGTGTGGACAGAGAGGTTCACGTCTCTGAATTTGCTTGCACAACAATGGGGACTGCAAATCTAAAATCCACAGGGCCAGCAGCTGGCAGGGGGTGTCTCTTCTCGGAGACCGCTGTCTTTTTTCTCTTAAGAAAGCCTTCAACTGATCAGATGAGGCCCACCCACACCACAGAAGATCCTCCCCTTCACGCAACATCAGCTGATGTCAATGTTAATCCCATCAGAAAAATACCTCCTTGGAAACATCTGGTGTTGAGCAAACATCTGACATCTGGGGACCATGGCTTGGTCAAGTTGACCCATAAAATTAACCCTCACAGAAGGGACCCGCAGGGCCTGGCCCCTTTCCCGCCGTCTCCACAGGGCAGGGGGTCACCCTGCACAGTGGAATCCACAGGCGTCCCAAGAACTGGGGGTTAATGCGTTACAACGTGTGCATGTGCCGTCAGCTGACTGAGGAGAGGACAATTCAAACCAGAGAGGTCACGCGCCTGGACACCTCCTGCAAAGTCTTCTAGAAGAACACAGGCCATTCTCACTTCACTTCCCCCATGTTGGGGCGTGGGGGGGGGGGGGTCTCTGCTCCTACAGAAACATCAGCCACCGAATAGTCACCGAGTCTCCAGGACTATCTAACCCAGGGGACAACATCCATGGGGAAAGTGCTCACTTTACAAAACCCAAAACAGCACTAACTTCTGCTTTGTTCTATGACATTCTGGGTCGACTCCCGGGCGCCTGATGTGCCACCCAGACCAGGGACCACCCAGGCGGCCTCCTGAGCCACCGGCAACACCCCGAAGGGACAGGTGTCCTCCAGCCCCACCTGCGGCGCCCCCAGGCAGCTCACTGGGTGCCAAGGGGAAGCAGGGCTGGCAGGCCTGACCCGTGTGTCTGGCAGGTGTAGCCAGGGGGCCTCTTCTGGTCGCGCAGCAAACGACAGGGAGCCTCTGATGCCTGCAAACCCTGGGGTCCCGTGTGACCCGCCCGACCTGGCTGATCACAGAGGAAAAGGGGAAAAAATCCAAGTTGCCAAGGAGACCACTTCAAATACATTTCCGGGAGTGTAGGGTCACATTCCAGAGCCTGCACACCCGCCCTGATGTGTGTGAGCCCCCACCCCCATCAACGGGGAGGCCCCAGCCCCTAGACAGAGCCATGGCAGTCACCGTCACCCCCCCCCCCCCCCCCCCCCACCATCCCCTGGCTTGCCCCCGGCACACCCTCAGAGCCTGTCCCAAGAAGAGACGCCGACAGCCGACAGCCGCTAAGGGATGAGCAGCAGGGACGCCCCCCAGAGCCAGCACAACACCGGGAAGGCCCCTCCCCGGCGTCACCTGAAGGCAGCAGAGAGAGAAGAAATACACGTGTAAGACGAAGGGAGCAGCACTCACTCCATTTCTCGGGCCCCAGAACGAGAACGCGGTGTGCTTGGAGCCTCTGCTGCACCCATGCACACACGCGCGTGCGCACACGCACACGTGCGCACACGCGCGCACACGTGCACACGCGCACGAAGCAAATGCCTGCCCGGCACTCGGGAGCAAGGAGCAGGACCCCGGCCAGTGGGGTGCGAGGCGGACACTGGTGGGCTGTGCGGCCTTGGCTGTGTCCCCCCAGCCCCACTAGGAAGGGATGCTGAGCACTGACCAGACGTCCCTGGCGGGGGCCTGGGAACTCACACAACACATCCTGGGCTTGGAAAGCGCCCGCTCACGTCATCAGGATGAACACACTCGGTAACGGCTCCCTTCCCTGGCGTCCTGTGAGGGCCCCTTGCCAATCTGCACCTCTCACACGCATTTTACGCTCTTTCTACCTGTGGCCTTGGACCTGGCTGGGAGGCAGCCTTGGTCACAGCGCATAATGGACAATTGTTTGGGCTGGCCAGAGTTACTCCCTTGGCTTTGAGACCACAAGCACTGAGGCCACCAACCTCAAAGCCTGCAAGGGCCTGCCGAGCAGGCTCTAGGGCTGGATGAGGACTGAGGCTAAAAGGGCCCTTTCCCACCCCAAGGGGCCCGCCCCTCAGGTCTGCTGGCTGTGGCCAGATAGGATGCAGGTCCAAGGTGGTCAGATAGCAGATTTTTAAAGGGAAGAGATCCGGACTGTTATGGGAAATATCTTGATTTTTAAATACTGACAATTCAAATATTTTTTTAAAAATACCACACAGGCCAATACAAACGTGTCTCTGGGCCAAATTGGCCCTGTGAACACCAGCTTCTTGTTCATGAATTTAAACCTAGAGCAGGAAAAGATTTGTGCTTTTAAGCTGGCATCACGCCCTCCCCTTGGTCCCCGGTCATCAGAGCCACCCGAGGGTGGCTCCACACAGGCATCACTCGTGGTGACAACTGAGGAGGACAGACAGGCAGCTCCAGGGCTCAGTGACTCCTCTCATGGGGCCTGGCCAGCCTGGCCGGGTGCTCTCACTTGGGGGTCTCTGCGGACACAGGCGGGTGGCCGATCTTGTGGAGATGCAGCGGGCTGAACATCCAAGGGGGGGCGTCAACTGGCCACTGAACTCGGAGCTCCAGGCCCCACTGATAAGCCGAGCCCTGTGGGCATCTCGGCATGGCCGCTGGCGCCAGGATGAAGGGCCCCAAGGGTTAGAGGGTCTGAGAGCCCCCCACGACCAGCCTGAGTGCCCCATGCCAGGGCTGCCACATCCCAGGGGTCTGACGAGTCGCCAAGGCCCTCCCACGAATCAGACTCCACCTGCCCAGGAGTGCAGCGAGGACTCGGTCTCATCTAATGCAGATTAGGGGAATGGGGTGGCTGAAGGAACCTCCTCCACCTCCAAATGAGTCTCATATTCTTAACCACGAAATGCTAGGCCCACACAAACCCAGACAGGGTGTCATATCCAAGGCCACAAGAGAGAAGTCAGACAGTCTGGGGCGCGGGGGCATAGGGGTCGGCCACATGCCACCGAAGAGGGGACAGCACCCCACCTGCCCCTTCGTCCGATGGTTATGGTTGCTTTGGAGGCAGGACGAGCTTTCTGCAGAGGCCCTGGCTTTCCTCCTAGACGCACAGGAGGACCGCACAGGATAAAAACGGGGCCTCCCCACCAAACTCCGCAGCAGAAGTCTCAGGAACATGGCCTCCGGGAGCGAAGATGAGCCTGGCCAGCCTTCGGCCCTGACGACTGGCTCCGTCCGCATCACGGTGGGATGCAGATTCAGCATGTGTCCTGCCTGGGATTTATTCATTCCTCCTTCCTTCCTTTTCCCTTTTCAAGGAAATGTGTTGAGTGGGCCTCCTGCCCTAATGACCTCGAGCCACACCACTGTGAGCGCTTCCCTGCGCTGGGGACGCCTTCAGAAATATTTACGCGGCTTTCAAGGAGCTCAGGCTGGAGGCAGCCTCCTTTGCCCACACACATGCATGGGCTGCCTGCCTGCCACCTGCAAGCAGGGTTTGTCCCGGGCATGGTGCTGGGACGGGGCGGGAAAGTGACCAGGTCCCCATGAGCATGCTCGCGGTATGACCCGGAACCTCCCGGTGCCTCGGATGCCCCCGCAGACCCACGTCTCCCCTCCTGCTGGACTCCACGGCCTCTGACGATTTCCTGCTGGAAGGGGTGGAAGGGGCAGGCTGGCGGCAGAGAGGAGGGGCCCCAACATGGCGTCTCAGGAAGGGCTCTGCAGGAGCCCAAAGCCGCGAACCAATTTGTGTTTCTGTCCGCGGGACCTTATCTGTGCTGCTTGTGCTTTATGGGCTGCACGTCACTGAGGTGGGCGAGCGCCGGCAGAGGGGCTCCAAACCTCACCACCCGCATCGACAACCCGGCAAGTTCTCCTTCTCTCAATTTAACCCAAGAAAGTGGCTCACAAGTGCCGAGCTCTGTGTCCGAGACCCAGCAGGGATGGCCGACTGCCACGCCAGGCCCCCACGCTGCCACGCGAAGGGTTCCCTTTGTCCGGTGGCAAAATGCACAGCTGAAGAATGTGCTCTAATGAGCATGAACGTGAAATCTTTCCGCCCCTGAGCGCTGGAGGAGGAGGAAGCGAGCCCAACAGACGGCAGCATACCTCTGGCCCTGCGTCATCAGGGCTGCCCACACCGCGAGGCGGGCCCCCCATTCATTCCGGGCAGCGCCTGGGCGGGGGCTCGCTCTGGGGGTCTCAGCCCAGCCCAGCCCCAGGACAGGCAGCCACAGCAGCTGCTTGCCCCTGTCAGTGACAGGCTTGAGCGTGGCCGCCACGGATTACAGCCCCAGACCAGCTGTCGCGGGGCCTCGTCAAAGGGACTCATGCATGTCCAGGCTGAGAACCTGGAACCATTTTTAAAAACTAAACTTTTAGTTTGAGATCATTGTAGATTTGCACGTAGTTTTAAGAAACAGTGTGGAAAGATCCCACGTGCCCTAAGTTTACGCATTTCCCCCAACGATAACACACCACAAAACTCTAGGTTCCGGCGTGGATTCATATTCCCCACCTTCACTGAGCCCACACGTGTTCAGTCCTATATAGTCACCACACATGTGGGCCTGGGCACACGGCGCCATTTTCTAAGAAGAGACCCTTCTGATTCTCAAGGGCAAGAAGACGGGTCAGTGCGGGCCAGAGACTGCTATCGAGACAGAAGAAGGCAGGAGGGTGGAGGGCTGGGGTGGTGCATGCAGGAGTAGCAAGGGCGGGACGCCTCATCCCCTGCACCCCAACCGGGCAGCACTCACCTCCGTGATGATGAAGAAGTCATCCCCAGGCTCCCCCTGGACCACGATCTTCTCTCCGTCCTCAAACTGCACGGGCTCCAGGGCATCCGCCACGGTCAGGCGCTCCCATTTCTCCAGGGACTCTAGAGCGGGTGACAAGGAGACCGTTACCACGGCGTGCACCCCTGCTCTGCACCCCAACGCTTTGTCAGGAAGCGCCGTGGGTCAGCCTTTGCCAAGACAGCAGTGAGTGAGACGGGGAGCGCGTTTCCATGCTGGGAAGGCCTGGGCGTTCCACCAGTGAGTTGGGTGGGATGTACTGGGCTAGCGCTCCATCCCTGGCAGGTCTTGGATAGGGCACTGTGCTCACACGCATCGCGGTTTAGCTTAGGCGATGGGTGCTGGAAGTGAGGCCTGTGAACCCAGCATGAAAATAGACATCTTCAGACGTAGGCTGCCCGTGTTCCTGCAAAAACACAACCACGGCTAAGCACTGGGGCTACTACGCGGTTTAAAATATTTCAGCGGTTGAAGCAATTACCCAGCCAGAAAAAACACCATTCATCACGGTTCGACTGCAAATGCACTTACGTTGCAGGGCTGGGCAGAGCACACCTTCCATTATTTTAGGTCAAAACACTGAATTCCAATGCCACGCTCTAAACCTTTACAGCTCACGAATTCTAGATACCTTTCTGCCCCTCCCTGCACCTTCCCTTCCCCGTCATTGTCCATCCCTAGCCCTCAGGAAGGAAAAGGAAAAAAACCCAATACGCTCCTTTGGAAGAAAATAACTTTTGCCTGATTAACTATTTCTTTTTTGGCAGAAAAACCTTCCCTGGCCTATACTTATCAGATGCTACTTAAGTAGGTCAGCGGCTAAAAATACAAAGCAAAGCATTTATTTTAGAACTAGGTTAGGAGCGAGATTTCTCTGCTTTAAGACGCCTGCCAGTGCTGTGCATTGGAAAGGACGAGCTTCTGCGGAGCCGCCGGCACACGCGCCCCGCCGGCCCGTCCGGAAAGGTCTGCACAGCCGGGGCTGCTCAGGAACCCAAGGCCGGTGGCGTTCCCACACAGAATGGGTCCGTGCTCGGGGGGAATTCAGCATGCAGGCCGGCCCGAGGGCCACGCGGCACGTAACTCTGCGAGTCACATAACCAGGGGGAAGCCGTTCCCACTGTCCCATCGGCAAGTTTCTCTGTTCCATCTGAAACGTGCCATACTCTGGGGTCCGAAAGTCAAGACACGCAAAGCTGTGTCCCCCAGCAGCAGGAATCTCAGGAGACACTGGGGGGATGGCAGTTTGTTACCCTGGGTTTTGAACCGTACCCAGTCTTTGAGGTGACAACAGGACACACAAGCCCTGGGCGCGTTTTCATGGCGTTCGGGGTCCTGAGTCTCAGGGTTCCGGGGGCTGACCGTCACGGGCCCTTTTCCTGAGTGGGATTTCAACTCTGCACCTGGACTGCGAATACAGACAGGCAGGCGTCCCGCCGGCAGCCACAGCCCAAGACCATGTGAGGCACCAGATGTGGAGACCCCCGTCTTGGGGGTGGCTTCCCCCAAGCCTGTCTGGTTCTGTGCCCGTCACAGACCGACCCCAGTGTCCATGCACAGGACCCTCCAGGCCCTGAGTGCACTCTGCCACCTCCATGTTCCTTCCTGCCAATGGAGGAATGGAGCTGAGGGCAGGCCGGTAGAGGGCAAGGCCTCCCAACGCCAGCCGCAGACATCTCTCCTGAGGATTCTCTGCAGCCAGGGTGACTGAGGGCGAAGATTAGTCTTGGGGTTGCTCTGCCCAATGGCCATGAAGAAGCACTGGCTGGTACCAAGCTTGTGGACGGGGACTGACCCGAGCGTGTAAGAGCGCCTGGCGCCAATAAAGGGAGATGGAAGGTGACCGTGGGCCCCAGGGTCCTGGGTTCGGGGATTTCTCATGGGGCTAAAATACCCCTCACGCAGCCCCTATGAAACCGTGGGAACCAGCTCATGAGGCGGCCAATTTTCGCTTCTCTGAGTACAACACTGGCCACACAGACCAGCATCCCTTCCTAGGACATGTCCAGACCAGACGCACCTGCAGAGACATGGGAGTGCCTCACATCACCTCCACTGGGGGTGACCAGAAAGTTCTGGAACCAAGGAGTGGTGACGGGGGCAGACGCCCTCAAGAAATGGCTGACACGGTGCATGCTGTGTGATGTGCTTTCACCACCAGAGGAAGAGAGGAACCAGAACCTTGCCTCAACATCTCACAGGGTCTCTGCGAGGACGTGGGGTCAGAGGACCCGCGGTGCCCTCCCTGCTGGACCTACTTTACTGTTTTGTGTTAAATTACTCACATTCACTACAAAGAACTCAAGAAATACAGCAAACTGTAAAGAATGTGAAAAACTGCCAAGTGCCGCCCAGAAATAGCCATGGCGACATCACAACCTGGCCGTGTCTCCAGTCACAAACCCAGACAGAAGGACGGACAGAAAGACAAGCAGAAATACTCTTATAAACGTGACACACCAGCTGTGTCACCTTTTTCAACGTAAACTCTTAACTCTATTTTGCTTGAATTTAACACAAGAAAAAGAAGCCAAAAGTAACCAGGTATTTTTTTCAATGTAAGATATATTCTTTTCTAAAAGATTCCCCTAATAAAGATCATTAAAAAAAAAAAAAAAAAAAACGGTCCTCACAGATTGAACCATAAGGAATGCCCACCTTTTAGGTCAAAAGGGGTAGAAAACGGGCCATTTCAGGTGGCTAGACTCGGCAGTGGCGCTGGCTCCACGTTAGGACAAGCTGGCCTCTCCTGGCCTCCCTATGGGTTTGGGGTTCTGCTCCCTGGTATGGTCTGTGAAGGAGCAAATGCACCGCAGGCCACCCACCCTGACCGGGGTCTTCTGAAACCCGCCTTGGGGGCACTGGCCCTCCGCGGGCACCGCGGGCACTGCGGGCACCTCGGGCCTGGCCGGGGGCGCCCTGTGCACTGTCTCTGGGTGGCTCGTCCTTCCACATCCCCTGGCGCCCTCCCTGGGTCCGGTGGCGAGTCCTCCACGGGGGTCCTGCCCCACCACTGCTCCATAGCTGCCTCATGCCGTTCCAGCGCATCACCGACTGACCCCATGCTCAATCTCGTCCACTTTTCTTCATTTGGAGAAAAAAATCAATCAAAAAAGTAGCGTGAACAACATAACCGTCTGTCCTGAATAAAATCATATGACTGTTTTGTCGTAATAGCTTCAGATCTATTTGTTCAGGTTTTTTAAATTTTTTAATCTTTTATTATCGAAGCACAGTTGACCTTCAGGTCTGTTTTTGAGAGATCCCCTGACATCACGCTCGAGCTGACTTCTCTCCCTTCCCCGAGGCCGTGGCCTCGTGCTTTCCTGTAAGACAGCCTCACAGATGCTACGGAGGGCTGCTTGCACCACCCATGCATGCTGCGTTCTGCTTCTGAGATCTGCGTTGACCCCGGAGCTCTGGTGCACTCGCGTGACTGCAGTCCATCCACACGACGTGGCTGACTTCACCTTGTTTCCCCTTCCTAGTCCTCGTGGAAGCTGCTGCAGTGAATGTCCGCGGCCATGTCTCTGTGGCCTTGCGAGAAACACCCAACGGCAAAGCTGTAGAGCTGGGGGCACGCGGCACCGGCTCCACTCCAGGACCCCAGCCGACCTCCGAGGCTCTGGCCAGGATGCGTCTCCCACCTCTTCCCTCCACTGCTTGCTCACTAGATTTGTGTTCTTGAGAAAGGCTACTACCCTGGATCTGTCTGCTCTTTCTGTGGAATGCTTTCTTCCTAACTGGGTTCTTGTCTGTGTGTCGCTTGCTCTGAGCTTTTCTCTGTAGTTCCGGCTCCTGCGGCTGGTCTGTGCGGCTGCTGTGGCTTTTCCCTCCACTTGTCCAAGCTTGCTATGAGCTGGTGTGGCGTCCTCCACTAGAAGGGCAGGCAGCGAGCCCTCTCCTCGTCTCTGTGGTCCGGACAGCAGGGACCGGGCAGGGGGAGAGCCCAGCTGGGAGCCAGGGCTGCTCCAGGGCTTAGGGCAAGCCCAGTGTCCCCACCAGCTCATAACCATGCAGGCAGGGGAGCAGCCGTGGGACTGACCTGCTGCCCAATCCTACACCCTCATCCATGAGTGTCAGCCCTTTGCTTCTTTCCCTTCCTCACTCCATTACGTTCTTGTAAGACAAGGATACCCTTCAATCAGCATCTTTACCCAGCAGCCTGGCCTGGGGGTGCTGCTGGATGGTGGTTTCCAGTGGTTCCTGGAGACTCAGCACTCAGCTGTCCCTCACCTTCCCAAGCACGGCCCCTCCCGTGGGCTAGAGCCTCCTTGTCCAAAGTGCAAGTCGCCAGCCACATGTCAGAGGCTAGACACAGATAAGGAACATCAGCTCCATTGCTGAAAGTTCTGCCAGAAAGGGCTGGGCTGCATCAGCATGTGATCATCACGCACGGTACAGCAACTTCAAAACACTTAAAAACTCTTGTTGATGAAAATTTTGTTGACACTTCTGAAAATCAACAGAAATGGAGCCATTGTGTTTATCAGACCCCAGAAGAAGGAAGGGCAGAAATGCAGCAGGAGAAATCACACTTAGGAAAACACCAAAACAGGTCATGGGAAGAAGCTGAGCACAGTGGGCTGCCTTTACTACAACATGAGTTGGGCTTGCAGCTCAGAACCGATGGACATGGAGGAAGGGCTGGAGGTGACTCTGGCGGTGGAAGGACAGACAAGAGGAGCTGACAGGATGAGGCACAGACACTCGAGGAAAGGAGAATGGTGCCCTAGGGGACTAGACACAGAGCTCTTGGTGTATGCACGTACACGTGGGATTGTGCCTGTGTGTGCATGTGTGTGAACACGCCTGTGTGGGGGCATGTGTGCATGCATGCGGGTGAGTGTGCCTGTGTGTGCATGTATGTGTGAGCATGCCTGTGTGTGCACACACGTGTTTGCATGTGTGCGATCATGCTTGTGTGGGTGCATATGTGTGCATGCATGCATGTGAGCATGCCTGTGGGGGGGCATGTGTGCATGCATGCGGGTGATTGTGCATGTGTGTGCGTGCGTGTGAGCACGCCTTGTGGGGGCATGTGTGCATGTGTGCAGGTGATTGTGCATGTGTGAGCACGCCTGTGTGAAGGCATGTGTGCATGCATGTGGGTGAGTGTGCCTGTGTGTGCGTGTGTGTGAGCACGCCTGTGTGGGGGCATGTGTGCATGCATGCGGGTGATCGTGCTTGTGTGGGTGCATATGTGTGCATGCATGCAGGTGAGCACGCCTGTGTGGGGGCATGTATGCATGCATGCGGGTGAGTGTGCCTGTGTGTGCATGCGTGTGAGCACACCTGTGTGGGGGCATGTGTGCATGCATGCAGGTGATTGTGCTTGTGTGGGTGCATATGTGTGCATGCATGCGGGTGAGCACGCCCGTGTGGGTGCGTACATGTGCGTGTCCCAAGCTTGCACATCACCAAGGGCACTGAACCTGCCAGGCATGCAGGGAACATGGAAATGGCTGGGGCCAGCAGGCAGGACTCAGACGAGACTGGAGGAGGCCACGCAGCACAGAGCGTTGTACACTGGGCCAGGGCCACTGACCCAGGATGGAGACCTTGCTGAGAAACTCCTCATACATCTTGCGCTTTCTCAGTGTGCTGCCCTGTTTAGGAGAAAGAAGACAAAGAAGGTAGGTCTTCATGCCTGAATCGTTTCAACATCTCCAAATTTCCCCAAATGACTCTGAATCCTTTGAGGATTCCATGTCTCAGAAGCCCCTCAGAGACTCCACCCCGCACCTCCCCCATCCTCCAGGCAGCTGCCCCTCGCCTGGCTAGCCTCAGCAACCTCATCAACCTCATCCAGGCTGGGCTGGTGACGGGTCCACACAATGAGCACTCAACCAACCAGTCCTGAGCTCGCCTTTCCGTGGGCTGAGGGCAGGTGTGCCCAAGGTAGGACGGTGAGGGGCGCTGTCTGGGCAGCCTCACCACATCCCCACACCACCCCCGGACACACACGCTGGGGCCAGCAACAGAACCACATGGGTGATGCGTTAGAGAGGGGCAGCCAGCATCAGTGAAGTCTCTGGACCAGGAATGCTTGAAACTGGTACTTGGGGAAAAAAGCGAATGAGTTGCTTCTTTCCCAACCAAAAGTTGGCTGAATAAGACAAAACCCGCAAACAGGGTCCCATCAGCCTTTAAGTGAACCAGAAATGAAAATCCACTCCAAAAATTAGAATCTGAATGTGAATTAGACAAAGGCGGGCGCCTGGGTGGCTCAGATGGTTAAGCGTCTGCCTTGGGCTCAGGTCATGATCCCAGGGTCCTGGGATCGAGTCCCGCATCGGGCTCCCTGCTCCTTGGGAGCCTGCTTCTCCCTCTGCCTCTCTCTCTCTCTGTCTCTTTCTCTCATGAATAAATAAATAAAATCTTTGAAAAAAAAAAAGACAAGGCACCCCCTTCTTCAAGTGTGCATCCCAGTGAGCTGGTGGCCTAAGCAAATAAGGAAGCCCAGGCCTCCCAGTGGCCAGCACCAGCTTGGCAGGTAGAGAGCAGCCTGGACTTCAGCCCCTCACCCTGCTGCCCAGGGCCTTTGGACAGTGTACACACTCCACAACTATACATGGTAGCCCTGCCAATGAGTACTGGTAAGTATGGCACATTGAGAAAACAGGGACATGCAGTCCACAAGCAGCCTTATCCATCAATGGGAGCTGGAAGTTCACCTGTGAAGTGAAAAGGATGGAGAGTCCAGTGACCACAGACTAGACACCTGACGTGGAAAGAGGTGGGAGGGAAGATAGTAACCATAAAAAAGTGCTTAGGCCACAGGGCAACGGTGGGTCCTCCAGACACTTGGGATGATTACCCTCAACCCAGAGGAAGAGGCAGGCTCAGAGGGGCAAGTGACCCCCTAGACTGTGATCAAAGGAGCAAGAACGAACCCAGACTGGGCTCTACAAGTCCCAAAGCTTGGTGATGATGGTGATGGTGATGATGGTGATGGTGATGATGGTGATGGTGATGGTGATGATGGTGATGGTGATG